GCTCTCAGCACACGGGAGTTCTTTCTAAGCTTTCTTTGATTGTTATTTTGCGTCGAAGGTTAGCTGTTAGTTCTGTAGCTCGCTTGGTTTCGCTGTCGGGTATTTCGTTCGCCGTGGTATTAACATGAAACCAGAGAGCTACAGTTCTATCCTATGCGAGTTACCCTATTCATGGAGCTAATTGCCCTATTTTACCAACCTGAAATCCGGTCAGGTCGTAACAGCCGTTTTTTTCATTATTTTCGCCTCAAGTTTCTGCTGTGGATGGGTTCCGAAACTTTTTCATCAATTATTTTGAGGACGATGGTCCAAAATTGGTCGATTTCACGACGAAAACCGCGGAAAATAGAGAAACTACAGTGAAATCCCTGTGTTTGCCACCATCTTGAATAAGTTATCGTGACATGAATAGGAGCTGTAAATACAAGTGAACTAATTATTAATTTTGTTTCTTTTAGTTTCAGATTGTTTCTGTTTGTTAGCTACTACATGTATGTCGTATGTAGTTTTGATTTTAAAAAGGGGTTTTTGAATGAGGCTGGAAACCTTGCCAGTGGATACACCAGAAAGAAGATTGTCCGGAATACAGATGAAAATATTGTTATGAAATTATTGGATTGAAAAATGGTATGCTGTGCCCAGCATAGCTGATATGATTGTTTTTAACCTGTTAGAATCAATTTTTTGGTCAAAAAATAAAATGCAGTTGTATTGTCTACAAGGATCACCCTAGGTACATGGTTTTATAGTCATAAAAGTATAAAACTGTTTTCACAGCAATTAAGACACATTGGCAATTGTTAATAATTTATTAAAAAAATATTACTGATGTCTCTGTACATGTTTTCCCAGCATGGGGACAGATCCAATAAAGGAAATTTGGTACTACAGGTAATAATTCATATGCAAGATAGAGCTTTTAACTACAATTTCTGTACAACTTTAACAAAAATATGACACTGGTAGTCATACTGAGGATAAAATGGGTAAAAAAAAGGTTTTACAAATTTAATTAGTTATTTATTATTGAAGTTTGTTAATCTACTTGGCATCGTATCAACATTGGATTAAAATATCCCCAAAATAAGAATTTTCATATATTCAGAGATATTTGTTTGAATCTGTTGGATAACAAATAATCTCATGTCACACTTGTAAATTATGACAATATGATAAATTCTCGTTTACCATTGAATAACATTATGAAAATGCTTATTCTTCAAATGTTTTTAATCCGATGACAATAAAATACAAATACAATGCCAGTCTGATTATACCAACTTCACACTGCTATTATCAATGGCACATTCAGTCCTCTGTACCAGTGCTTGATGAGCTATTCTCAATTATTGCATCAGACTCTATACTGTCACTGCTAACACTATTTGTATCTGCACAGTAATGAATAAGATGTATTTCAATATAACTACTCTCATCTTTGCCATGTTCACATGAACACTTAGATGCACAAATATCACAACTGTGCTACTGTGGAATACTTTTTCGTTATTTTCGCTGACGGGATGATTCCATGAAAATAAAATCCAGCAAATATACTTTTTTTCCTATATTTCACATTAAAGTCATCAAAAAACAGTGAAAATAAATTCCATACAAAACGCCCAAAAAGCCTTTTTCAGAGAAAATTAATTCCAGCGAAAATAAAGTATTCCACAGTATAATATTTTGTCTTTCAATTGATTTATTTCCAGACTTGAAGCAAAATCTTCATAAAGTTTCACCCGTCTGCAAACATTTGTGTTTCTTAAGTATGATACAAAATAACTGAATGAGATGGTTTGTCATCTCTCCCAGATTCCTGTACATAAGACTCTATATCAAATGAAGGACCATAGTGAATAACATGATGAAAATTGTTCATATCAATTAATACCCATTCTAAGAGCTGTTGAACAAAAAATAATATGCAACTCTGAATGTGAATGTGAACACTTTCGTCATTTCTTTTATGTGAGACTCTTATACCACGGAATCAGTTTCGCTGTGGTACATCCCAATGTAAGAAATTGAGGCAGGATATTCCCCTTCAAAGTAATCATATAATCTAGATGTATAATCAAGTGATGAACAGTAGACAAGTGTACGTGGAAACTGGTCAGTTTCCTCTCCCAACTTATCAACCATCCAGTAAAAAGTTGAGGGGATATCACATACAATTTTCAAAACACCATATCTAACATTAGCCTTATTCGTACACACATTTATATTTTTACAGTCTGAAATGGAGCGACTGTCCTTGATCTGTGACAATGCGGGTTGTAACAATGTGGATGCTGTTGAGGTCAATGCCAGTACTTGCACATCAGGAAAATATGATCGTAGTTCTCCTAAATAGAAAAAATACTCTCTAAGTGCTCATTCCTGCTCTTTGCGTCTGCCTTTGTTACTTTGAGCAATAGTCGGCTTTCTCCTGTAAAGAGCAAAAATGAAGATACTCAACATGTGTAAATTATTTTAGTATAGATAATTCATTTTTCCTCTGTCTTAGGGGCTTGAGGACTTGAAACTTGGAAGGAGTGTGAACAAATTTTTGTAAAGCATTATTTAACTAATTTTTACCATCACTGTCACAAATTGGGCAGTTTTGGCAAATCAAATTGTTATACATGTTGTTTAAAGTGGAGAGTCTTCACCTGCGCATGGCAGGTTGCCATAGCGTGTCATTGTTTACAAATAAGCATCTACCCATGAGCCTTCACAATTTTTAACGTGTTGTTTATCATCACTTGAGCCTCAATTCCTGCATGTGCACAGGTGACAATGCTCCCGCTTTAATTTGTAGCATATTTGATCTCATATTCGATGCTTATGGCTTTAAACAACAAATTCTAAAACGCTGTGGTACAATGTGTTGGTAATGAGCGATATACTTACCACTTTGGAACTGTATGAACTTCATCAACCACTAATAAAATGATCATGTTACCATGTTTTCCCTTTAATATTTCAATATTTTGTATATTCTTTAAGTAAGCCTTTGGCGACCAAAAATATATTTTGGCAGGTCAGCATCATGATTTAATTCTGTTATTGTTGCTGCTGACAAACCACAATTTCTGATGAAAAAATATCTAAAGAAAAAAAGGAGCACATTAACATTAATTTGTTTTCATCATTTGATTAAAACTTGATTAATTACAATACAAACATTATTAATCAATTGAATTATTTTTTTTTAGGGGGAAGTAAAGTAGAATTCTACTAAAATCATTTTATTAGGTACATACCTGGTCTTTTATCAGGGACACCAAAAAACCA